ACCCACCACTTCCTCCAGGTCTGGTTGGAGGGTGGAGGACTCCTCCTCCTACCAGTCCTGGTCTGGAAGGATAAATGGGGAGGGGGAGAGTGGGCCGGGAGAGAGGAACAGACAGCGGCCAGGGTAGGTCCGCTCCTCAGAGCCCCCAGAGACCCTGCCACCTGGTTCCACAAGGAGGTTGACAGAGCCTCTGACCCTGGCACCCGGCATAGGCTGAGCCCTGAGCCCCCGGGCCCTGCTGCCTCTCCCAGTTCTTCAGCCCCGGTTCTGCCCCACCTCGCTGGGCTCACACTGCCCCCTCCTACCCCTTCCAGATGCTAAATCTGCTGGTGCTGCTGCTTCTGGACCTAACCGGTCCGGGTCACGCGGCCCCCGGTGAGTCCTGGCCGGCCACCCTGCCCCGGCCCTCGCCCCACAGCCCACCCCAGGTGGCCCAGGGTGACCTCGGCACAGGGAGGGCTGAGCTGGGGTGGGTGCCCTCCTGGGTCCTGAAGGTGCTCCCGCCCAGCCCCAGGCCCGGCAGTGGAGCGAGCAGGCATCGTGGGGGGCCAGGAGGCGGCTGGGAGCAAGTGGCAGTGGCAGGTGAGCCTGCGGTTCCAGCTGCAGTACTGGATGCACTTCTGCGGGGGCTCCCTCATCCACCCCCAGTGGGTGCTCACCGCGGCGCACTGCGTGGGACCGTGAGTGTGGCGGGGCATGGGGCGGGCCCCTCACCTGGGCCCCAGGCAGCTGCCAAGACCCTCTGAGAGACGCCCCTCTCCCCAGGGACATCAAAGACACCGCGGACATCCGGGTGCAGCTGCGAGAGCAGCACCTGTACTACCAGGACCGGCTGCTGCCCGTCAGCAGGATCATCGTGCACCCCAACTTCTACTCCGTCCAGGACGGGGCGGACATCGCGCTCCTGGAGCTGCAGGACCCTGTGAACACCTCCAGCCGCGTCCACACGGTCACCCTGCCCCCTGCCTCAGAGACCTTCCCCTCGGGGACGCCGTGCTGGGTGACAGGCTGGGGCGACGTGGACAATAATGGTGAGTGTCAGGCGGGGCCGGCGGGCAGGTGGCTCAGCCTTGGAGCTGGGGGGGCAGGGTCCTGACGAGGCGGTCAGGGGTGGAAGGTGCAGGCCCTGGAGGGGAACATGAGGGAGGTGGCCTGAACTGACAACAGGGACTCTGAGCACCCCAGGCCAGCGCTGCCCCAGCCTCCTTGGGCAAGGCTGCCAATGTGCCATGCCTTCATTTCCTCTTGCCTGCAACGGGCCCTGTCACAGCCTGGCTCTCATGGCCTGGTCCAAGGGGACACCTTGCACACGTCACTGTTCCTGTGGGAGCCTGCTGTGGGGCAGGTGGCCTGTCTCTGGGCCCACGGACAAGGGCAGACTCCGGAAACCAGGTCTGGCAGGATGGTTTGGAGTGGGTTGGAAGAAGCTCGACCGACCCTTCTCTTCAAAGGTCCAGTCCCCACCATGTCCGCGATTCTGAGTACAGGGCATGAGCTTGGGAGCCGCCAAGGTGTGTCCCCTGGGCTTCACGGAGAGCCTGAGCACCAGGACGGGGCAGGCAACATGGAAGCCAGGCCAGGCTCCGGCCCCAGCCCAGCCACACGCTGCCCTGTCTGCTGACCCCGTGGGGGTCAGCCGAGCTGAGGGGACAGTGAGCTTTGGCATGGCTGCCACCACCCTCTGACCTGTCTGTGGATCCTGGCCCCTCCCTGAACTGGACTTGAGTGAGGGCAGGTGCAGGCCCGTGTTGAGGGAGGGCGGGCGCGGGCCCGTGTTGAGGGAAGGCAGTCTGTAGAGCTTCTAGACCCCATGCCCTGTGCCCGCAGGCCTGGCATGAGCAGGTGCTCAGCAAACACTGCTGGCCTGGCAGTTTCAGCCCACCCGCACCTCTCTCCTCTCCACAGTGCACCTCCCGCCACCGTTCCCCCTGAAGGAGGTGGAAGTGCCCATCGTGGAAAACGGTGACTGTGACCACAAGTACCACACGGGCCTCTCCACGGGGGACGGCGTCCACATCGTCCGTGAAGACATGCTGTGTGCAGGGAAT